CCATGGCCATAGAGGTACCTACGTGCGCTATGTAATGAGCACGGTGCCCGACAGCACATCCATGGATGTGTTTTACGTACTATGACTGGACAGGCGCATCCGCAATCGCAGCCGCAGCCAGCTAAGATGATGCTCGGTGCGGGCTAGCAGATGTGTATTGCGGAAGGTACAGTAAAGGGCAGACCCCGAAGAGTGGATTTCGTCTCCGGGATCCTACCGCCACGTGTGGACACGGATCTGATACGGTGCGGATGTGGAAACTGAACGCGCCATGTGCATGCAAACGCGGCGTCAGGAGCCATGAATCAAGTACCGGGAGTTACTCACACAGTGCTATGCCGACTGCTGTGACAGCGGAGTTCTACCGGCAGTCGGTCCATCGCAAGCACGCCATGGGAACGGCACCGAGTCCAGTACGCCGGCACCTCACCGCGGCCCTTGTCCCATCTCCCGCTGCTTGACACGACTTGTGCTTGAGTCACTGAGACGGAAAAAAATTTAGAGAGGGGAGGAAGAGGAAAAAAATCTTGCACCCCTCCAAAGCCGGCACGGAAGCGTCATAACGGCCCAGAGCCGCTCTGCGTGGGTCACTGGAAATAGAACAGTCAACGCATTACGGATACATGTCGTGTATTAATGCTTGTTGGGCCCGACGTGCCGGTTACGGACAATTTTGTCGTTCCACTTTGCTGAGGCGATTCAAGGCCCAATCGCCATGCGTAGCCGCAAAGTCGTCACCCGACTTCCAGCATACTGGGTAAGGTAGGCTTGTGTTGTCTTGTCAGCCCGATCCAACCTCCCGCCACGCAAGTTCCGCTCCCGACAACTCACGGAGCTTCCTTCTTAGTCGCAGCCGACAGCAACTTCACAAATGACCCAGCCATTCTTAAGCATGGCGTAGATTCCTTACTCAACACCATGGCCTTCTCCTCACCGTACTCTATCTGGCCGTGCAGTGACCATTCAGTTTGGGGCACTATGGGGGCTGGGTGAACCCCTCCGATTGATAGTCACACGGGATAAAACTTTGGGGACCATCGATTGACCCATGCTTACTTGTGTGTCTCTACTACCTCCAATGCTAGCCCCCTATCCGTTACATAAAAAAGAAGAACAAACTCAGAAAACACCCGTTCTACGATCCCCGTTTCAGCAGCAACATACAGCATCATTCATGGCCAGGACGTAAATAGCCGTGTCTCTCGGAAGAAAAAGAAAATCGGCGACCGAAATGTCAATTACCATCTATCAAGCAGAACCTTTCTGTGGTTTGCTGCTTGGCCCAAACCTCGTAATGCTGAGGTGGCGCGCAGTGTAGACATCGCCACCTCTGTGGGTGCGGAAAGCACTTGTTGGAATAACACATTTTCCTCAAGTCCCGATCAGCATGGATGCCAAGAACCTATCAACAAAAAGTGGCTTATGCCTGCATCGCTCAGCTCTGCTTGCACTCAGCCGCCTCCTGCTTAGGTTTGCCGGCATCGTCCTGTACGCGATAGTCAGCTCTATTACGCAGGCCAGACATGGGCTCGGCTATCAAAATCGCGGTAGCACTCACCTCGTCCTCAGACTCTTCGTCTTCGTCACGGTCCTCGCTAAGATCGTCGTCATCGTCGTCGTCCTCGTCGTCGAAGTCACCCTCCAAGTCATCATCGTCCAACTCCTCAAAGGCCAGAGCTTCGCCGGTAAACCAGTCGATGGCACGGGGGATGAGCTTCTCCTTGATGTCCTCTCCAAGCTGGTAGTCAAGCTCAAGGCGCTCCTCGATGTCAGAAGCGGCGTCGTCGTCCTCCTCCGTGGGGGCCTGAGGAGGCGAGAAGAAGTTGAAGAAGGACTCGGTGGGAACCGTCTTCTTAACGATACGAGTCTGCTTCGTGTCTGTTACAATGGTCAGCGGCCGATTCTTGTATTCCGGATACGCGCCTTCCAAACTCACTCTTGTTCCTCTGCTTCTTGCTCTCGATCCGAACAGTGAGATCCTTGCCTTCCTTCCAATCGATTTTGTCACCTTCGGCATGATCATAGATGAAGTCACCACCGTAGCCGCTCTCGCTCTGGTAGAAGTAGGTTTTGGTGATGGTCTTGTTCGTGAAAAACTCGTTCTCGGCAAACTCGAAGATGAGGCGGAAACCAGGCTTGTCGAGGTACTCCATGCGAATATCAACGAGGTGCTTCAGGGCGGCCTCATCACGGTCGGTAATCATCTCGGCAAGAGAAATTTGGTTCTTCATGGCAGACAGCCAGAACTCGGGGATACCAGAGACGTCGGATGATTCGGTAGACTTATCCGTCTTCTCGGCGTCCTCGGGCTCCTCGTCATCATCGTCCTCCTCGCCGGCCTTGATCTCTTCCTCGGAAGGCTCAGAGCCTCCGTTCACAATTTTGGCACGCTTCTCGTAGAGAGGAGTGAACTTGGCGAAGTACTTCTTCTCCAGCTGGAGAACCTCCTCCTGGAATTCGGCCTCGAGCTTGGAGTGCTCCTTCTGAATGCCCTTGAGGCCAGCGACACGGCGGCGCACCTGAGGAGGGAGGGACTCGATGTAACCGGAGGAACGGCCGACGAGGGAGCCAAGTCTTCCCTGGATCATTTGAACGAGCTTTGGGTTTTGGGCGAAGATGGAGGCAGCGGCGGCGCGATCAAGATCCTCTATGACGGAGAATTGCAAGTTAGTTATCATCCGATGGAGGGGTATGGGCGAAACCAAATGGCAGAAGAGGGGCACATACCCTCCTTGATGCTGTCAACGCCGGGCTGCTGGGCGTGCGAGGAAATGGGCGCATTCTGAAGGGGGGTGTTCTGCGGCGTACTGAGGGCAGATGAAGATCGTTAGCCATCACGAAGAGACAACTTTTGTCGTCGAACACTGCGAGCGAGAAGCGAGGGGTCGCCACCCAGAACAAAGTGCAGCCGTGGGGGGGGGGGGGTCAGATACTTACGGCGCAGTGGCCGGGTCGAGGCGCTTGTTGCGAATAGGCTCAGCCATGATGTGCGATCGACTCTGAAGCCTTTAGAAAGAGACGATGGAGTGAGGGTTGTCGAGACCAAAGGGGATTGGGATTGGGATTGACGGGGCAAAAACAGGAAGACGCCGAGGGTGGGAAGTTGTAGATGCCCAGTCAAGACTTATTTTGGTGGGGGGCGGCAACTGGCAAAAAAATTCTAGGAGCCAGACTTTGTCCTTCGTTCGTTGGGGCGGGTACCGCTGCTAGGCGCCTTCCACGAGTACCTACCTAGAGAGTAAGGTAGTGACTAGTGGACGGGGTAGTCGACAGCGGGCGGGCTCCAATGGACATCACAGGCGGCCTTCTACTGATGGCCATCCTCCACTTAGATACCTTAGGTAAGGCAGCATACCTTACCTAGGTACCTAGGTACCTTGTAAGGTGGGCAAGTATCCGTACTAACTAAGGTAAGTAAGTAGGTGCAGAAGGTACAGTGAGGTAAGGTGGTTTGTATGGCAGGGTGAAAACATTGGCGGGTAGGGTACCAGGTGCTGGGCGGGCATTTGCTGAAGCCTCAGGCCAGGCACCCGTTGTCTCTCCTTCAGGTAGTAGGTACCAGGTAAACACACCTACCTGGCAGCGCGAGCCCTCAACTGAACCTCATCCTTCGAGGTTGCCCCTTCCCCTGCGGGGGCAAGACGTTGATACTCAGGGCTCAGAAAGCGGTAAAGACTACGAATGCACACCCCGGTCCAGCCGTGTCGGTGAAGCAAAAAGACTCTTGAGACTCAGTCCTGGTGGACATGGGGGCCAGGTCTTATAGGCCACGGCAGCTGCCAGGCTGTCTCGACATGGTAAGGTGTAATGTAGTGTATCTTGAAGTCGGCCCTTGCCCTGGTGATTTGGATATTGCCGTGACAGTGTCAGACAACTAAGAGCGAAATGTGTGCACCTCATGGGAACATTTGGAGCGCCCGGATACTATGTTGGCAAAGCCAAACGGCAGCAATCCATCTTGGTAAAGTACGCATGTAAAGCTCCCAGTGTAGGTAGGTAGGTACGTAAGTCATCAAGGTACAGTCAGAGACAGGACGCTGACGTAGATAATGAACACTGGACTAAGCTGGACCTAATTACCTTGTAGGTAAGGTGGTTTGGCGTCGGGTGGAGATACTGAGGCGGACGTTCACATCCACGTCCACGCTTGCCTCCAGCCCAGGTGTCGTGCAAACAATCTGTTTGAACGAGGTACGCACTGTGCCTGAAGTAACTAGGTGGGTAGACATAGTAGCCACGCTCAAGGGCTTCGTTTCCCGGTCTCCCGTCGTCTGTACTGGATTGAAGGGTCCAGCCCAGGTTGTGGTCCTTCCGAGGTGCTTACCTAACCTAAGGTACCTTACATAGGTAGGTGGCTTCCAGTCCCCTCCCTTGTAGGACTTGTTTTGTGGTTTCCGAACGTCTTATCAGTGATGAGGACCTAAAGCAGGTAATGGAAGACACTCTAGGGTACCTACCTTTAAGTGCCTACCTACCTAAGGTAGTCCCGTTGGCGGCTGCTCAGGTGCCTTGCCTTGTGCAACCACAGTACGGACACTGCGGCGATGTACCTTGCCTTGCCAGACCATCATCGCACGGAGTCAGCTCGGAATGCGCTAACCAGCAAAGCATTCTTTATTTTCAGTTTCCAAGTGCGACTCAGGCTTTCACACCAAATCAATAGGCGCTGCTCGTCCACGGCCGCAACAACTGCGTTGCGCCGCCTCCACGGACATCCACCGTTCCACATCCATATCGCGATTCGCTCAAAGCCAAACATTCGGGTCCTTCGCGACACCTCACGTCCATCTGCACTTGGCTAAGCTTCGCCGAGTCGACCGCCGCATAGCTACCGTTTTCTCGTTCCGCTGCCATGTGCCTCTTCCACTCGGCCTACAGTATCGTCTCTTCTCACTCGGTGTCCGGGTAGCTCGACGAATTCCTGTCTATTCTATTTTCGAAGCGTAAACACCAAAACCTGGTGGCGTGACGCTGAGCCTGAACCCGCATCAAACGTCATCATGGATCAGGATCCGGATCAAGGGCACCATCGTGCCTCCTCGACATCGAGAGCGAATGGCCATGCCCCCCTATACCGTCTCAACTCCAACCAGAGCAGCACTAGCATATTTGAGGAGGTCGAAATGGCCCACGATGAGGTAGGTTCCCTGACAGCATCGCCACCAAACAGGCAAAAACTAAACTTCTTGTCTTTGCAGCTCTTCTCCGGACCAATGGCCGAGAGTCTCCCGACCAGCGTTTCTGCTTTCTCGCACCGCAGACCACGCGCCGATTCTACCACGAGCTTTGCTTACTACCAAGACGAAGATGATTTGGAGCCCTCCCCCACATTCGATGAAGAACGCCGAAGCATGTCCGACGGCGGTGATTTTACCTTCGGCGAGGATGACGAGAGCAATCTTGATATAGAAAATGGCGATGCAGGTGATGATGACTACATGGCCCATCGCCGAAGGTCATCGACACATTCGCGGTCTTCCGTTCATGCTAGGCTGTTGCGCCGAGACAGTGCGACCACAAGCAAGAGCTTGGGTGGAGACGGTCGAATCAGTCAAAAGGTCTACATGGTCAACGAGGACCTCACGATCGTCATCGCAGGCTTTCGTACTAGTCGCTTGGGCTTTGTCGCTTATGGTCTCCTCTGCGTTTGTACTCTCGGCCTCTCATGGCTTTTGCTGAGATGGTTTCCTCGATGGCAAGTGAGGTTGCTGGGGCGTCCATCTCCATTGGCTGAATGCGACTGGGTGGTTGTCGAAGTAAGTCGTCCCAGGTCACTGATGGGCTCCATATCTAACTCGACTAGAACCAATGGGGTGAGTTCGCTCTCATGGACGTGGATAAGAAACTCTACGGGAGACCAATGTCAACAATTTTCGGCTCTAGCGAGAAGGGCTATATGATGGACGATGATTACGATCCCATCATTACCGAGCTTCGCATGCTCAACTACCGCTATGTTCGCCTATATTTCAATCAGCAAACAGACAAGTTCATCATGTTCAACGGATGGGTCGACCCCAATTGGACCGACCCTCGAGCTGTCAGGGCTGGCATAGATAGCGACGAAAAAGGACTCCGGGAGGTTGTATTCGGTAACAACCTCATCGACATCGAGCAGAAGTCCATACCACGCCTTCTTGTGGACGAGGTGCGTAATGTCGGCTTTGACGTGCCATGATACTGACACGCTTAGGTGTTCCATCCCTTCTATGTCTTTCAGATAGCCAGCTTGATTCTTTGGTCACTGGACGAGTACTACTACTACGCTGTCGCCATATTCTTGATGTCATTTGGTAGTATCACGACAACTCTCATCGAGACCCGGGCGGTAAGCTCCCCATACCATGCATTGATGGGGCCATGGCTCACTGGCACAGACCATGAAGCGCCTTCGGGAGATTTCGCGCTTTGAATGTGACGTCAGAGTGCTTCGGAACGGATTCTGTGAGTGCTGTGCAAGAATGTTTAATTTTAGCTAGACTGACGATCCACGAGGGCGCTTCGTGCCTTCAAGCGAGCTTGTGCCCGGTGATGTCTATGAGGTCAGCGATCCGAACCTGACCCAGTTTCCCAGTGACGGCTTGTTGTTGAGCGGTGACTGCATTGTCAATGAGAGCATGCTTACCGGTAAATCCATTGCTCATTCTTTAGCCTGCTAAATGACTGACAATGTTTGCCAGGCGAGTCTGTCCCTGTGTCGAAAACGCCTGCCACGGATGATACTATGCATAAGTTGGATTTGGCTGCGCCGACAGTCTCGCCAGACATCGCGAAACACTTTTTATTCTGCGGGACCAAGATTGTCCGCGCTCGTCGACCACAAGAGGATCGAGATGGCGACGCTGTGGCCCTTGCCCTGGTTGTCAGAACAGGATTCAGTACCACGAAGGGCTCTCTGGTCCGATCCATGCTATTCCCCAAACCATCAGGCTTCAAGTTCTATCGGGATTCCTTCCGGTATATAAGCGTTATGGCTGTGGTGGCTATGCTCGGCTTTATTGCATCGCTTGTCAACTTCCTGCGGTTGCAATTGGCTTGGCATCTAATCATCGTGCGCGCCCTTGATTTGATAACAATCGTGGTGCCCCCTGCTTTGCCGGCCACTCTTACAATTGGCACCAATTTTGCACTTAACAGACTCAAGAAGAAACAGATATTCTGTATCAGTCCGCAGCGAGTCAATGTGGGGGGGAAGTTGGATATCATGTGTTTCGACAAAACCGGAACCTTGACAGAAGACGGGCTGGACATTCTCGGTGTGCGTGTGGCATCGCCTGCGACCGGCAAGTTTACAGACGTGTTATCGGACCCATTGACTCTCGTGCCAAGTCGCAACCACCGAATTAGAGATGCTGCCCAAGATTCGAAGCTTAAGGCCGCTCTTTTCACAATGGCGACCTGTCACTCTCTAAGGGTCGTAGATGACGAATTGGTTGGGGATCCACTTGATCTGAAGATGTTCGAATTTACTCGGTGGTCTTTCGAAGAGGGCAAGCAAAGCCTGAACGAAGCGGACGATCAGGACCAGGGAAGCCTCGCACCATCTGTCGCTAGACCGCCTGAGGAGTACTCTGATACTCTACGAGATCAAAACGGAAATAACCACTCGGTATGTTATCATGGGTGTCGTTTGAGCAAAGCGGGGCTGACCTCCACAAACAGCCACCTCTTGAACTTGGAGTTCTCAGATCTTTTGAATTTGTTTCTCAGCTTCGAAGAGCGAGCGTGATTGTCAGGCAGTTTGGAAAGCCAAGTGGAGACATCTACGTCAAAGGCGCCCCTGAGTGCATGCGGGAGATTTGCCGAGAGGATAGCTGTAAGTGGATTACCGATGACAATTGCAATTATTGACCGTCTGGTTACTGATGCGTGATGCAACAGTTCCTGTCGACTACGACGAACAACTTGCAAACTACACGCATAAGGGATATCGTGTCATCGGGTGTGCAACCCGCCACATTCCCAAAATGAGTTGGGTCAAGGCACAGAAAATGAAGAGACACGAGGCAGAATCAGACTTGGAGTTTACCGGTTTCATCATTTTCGAAAACAAGCTGAAACCGACCACTGCGTCGGTGTTGACGGAACTTTTAGACTCCAACATCAGCGCAACAATGGTGACTGGTGACAACATCCTGACCGCCATCAGCGTTGCCCGTGAGTGCAACTTGGTCAACAAAACTGCTCACTGCTTCGTCCCGAGATTCATTGAGGGTGAGTAAAGCACCCGTATCATGGTGAATTATAGTTAACAGATGGAAGGGCATGCTGGCGATCCCAAGGCAAGGTTGCAATGGGAGAGCATCGACAATAGCGACTTCCACTTAAGTGACCAGACTCTACTTGTAAGTCTCACGGAGCGACCTTCACCATGTTCCCCCTACTTACTGTGGCGAAGCCCATGGCCCCACCAGCAGATGTCGACGCATCGCTGGCGTACAACATCAACGACATTCGCAACTACTCACTGGCTGTCACTGGCGAGGTTTTCCGTTGGATCGTAGACTTTGCACCTCCAATAATTCTTCAAAGGGTGGGTGATTACGATAGACGTTCTTACCAAATAACTTGCTGACAGTCACAGATGCTCGTTCGCGGCAGAGTTTTTGCGCGCATGTCGCCTGACGAGAAGCACGAACTGGTTGAGAAACTACAGGGCATTGGGTACTGCTGTGGGTTTTGCGGCGACGGCGCAAATGATTGCGGCGCTCTGAAGGCTGCCGATGTGGGCATTTCACTCTCAGAAGCGGAAGCTTCCGTTGCAGCTCCATTCACATCTCGTATCTTTGACATCGGATGTGTACCGACGGTCATCCGGTATGCGCAAGACCCTTTTCGCTGGAAGGACACTGCTGACGCATCGGTGTAGTGAAGGGCGTGCTGCGCTCGTAACGAGCTTCAGCTGCTTCAAGTATATGAGTCTCTACTCGGCGATTCAGTTCACATCGGTCAGCTTTCTCTACGCGAAAGCGTCAAACCTCGGCGATTTCCAGGTGAGTCAATTACGATTCCTTCTCTTATATTCAAGACTAAGACAGCTATAGTTTCTTTTCATTGATCTGCTTCTTATCCTACCAATCGCTGTCTTCAGTAAGTTCATCGCGATGACGATGGATCCAGCTTGGTGCGTGCTAATGTTGGCAACAATAGTGAGCTGGGCTGGGCCCTTTCCCACTTTGTCACAGAAACGACCGACGGCGGATCTTGTATCCCGCAAGGTTCTCATACCCTTATTGGGACAAATGGCCATTTGCATCGCCGTGCAAGCCATGGTCTATGTAGCCGTGCGAGAGCAACCGTGGTAAGTTCATGGAAGCCACTGATGTCTAGTTGTACCACTAATCACGCTGATAGGTACATCCCACCACGCATCAACCATGAGAAGTCAAACATCAAAAACTCGGAAAACACCGTATTATTTCTCGTGTCATGCTTCGAATACATCTTAGCTGGCGTGGTCCTCAATGCAGGGCCTCCCTTCAGAGAGAGCGCATTGAAGAATTGTACGTTTGATACCTCTCATATACTAGCATTTTTCTGATCTTTCTGGCAAGGGCCCTTCTTGGCGACTGTTGGGGTGACTCTCCTGATCACTCTTTACATGATTCTTTTTCCGGCGCATTCGGTCAAGCGTTTGATGCAACTGACGAATACCAACTTGGACTTCGAGCTTTTCATGATCTTGCTTGGTGCCGTTTACTTGGCTGCAGCTTTGATCTCGGAAAAGTACGTTTTCCAAAAATTGGCTAGGGCTGCTGGGGTTTTCAAGGAACATGTACTGAAGGCGCCGAAGCAGAGGAAACAGTACAAGATTATCTTGGAGAACATGGAGGTGTAGGATAGCATTCATCAAGGCTTCGCATGACCCACCATGGTTGGCGCAAATACACGCTACCAGCCTCATTGATATTTCAGTCAATTAGTACCATAAGATGAAGACTATTTTCGCGATGTTCGTCCTCGTAGACAAGAACAACATGATGAATACAGCTTAGGTGAGGGAGAAATGGACGTGTCATTGATGCTCCACTCGACCCGCATTCCGGTGCCGACACTGGAGCTAGCCTAAGCGGATCACCCCGGCTCCGAGGGGCCGGGGTTTTCGCTACGACGGCCTGAGACAGGAAAGTCAGCCACGCTGCATCTCCCAACCCCCCGAACAATTGGTAGCTGGTGAAAATCACGCTCGCCGATATTCAATTAAGTCCTGTGCCACTCACCTTGTCCTGCAAACGATCGCGCTACTAATGGTCGACATCGTGAAGTTGCGTTTGTAAAATACAAGCTGCCAGATGCCACGATAACAGACGCACACCCTTTTGTGCTCGGACTCGAATCTGGTTTCGAAGTGCAACATCTCCCAAGCCAAAAAAAAATAAAAAAATTTGAGGACACGGAATCTTTTGCTCGACGGAAAACAGCTACTATCTCAGTTTTGGCTTCGAACGATCTTGCGAGCTATTGGCGATTTCCTCCTGGTGAAATCACGATGAACATGGGTAAGTCGGCCATGGTGCTTTCTCCACCATTGTTAGAGGAGGAAGCTTCTGCTGCTTTCATCATAATGGAGCTACGTCTCTGACCAGATTCAACAGACTGGATTCTCGACAGCGGCTACCTGCCCCATGCAGTTATCAGAGTTGGCATCCGACGACAGCTCCAGGAGCGTCTCGATTCTATCGCAAGCACCTCTCTCAGCCTGGATTACGAGCGTAAGATGACCTTTATCGAGAAGTTACGCACGCAGCCCATAGCCATCGAGACTGCTGCTGCCAACAAGCAGCACTATGAAGTCGGCACCGGCGTGTTGGCCGCATGCTTGGGCCCTCGTATGAAGTACTCATGCTGCCTATACCCCAAGGGCGGGGAGACGCTGGCACAGGCTGAAGTTGCCATGCTGCAGACTTATGTAGAGAAGGCGGAGTTGAAGGACGGCATGAGCATTCTAGATCTCGGGTGAGCCTTCACTCCTTTCCCTTTCTTGACGGAACAGTTATGCCGAGGTAGCTTGGGCTAACTCACTCTGCGTAGCTGCGGCTGGGGGTCGGGCGCGCTTTATTTTGCAGAGGTCCTTCCTAACTCCAAGGTCACTGCGTTCTCTAACTCTAAGACGCAAAAGGAATACATTGATGGAAAGGCCAAGGAGAAGGGTCTGGCCAATCTCACGGTGATCACAGGCAACGTTGTCGACTATGAATTTGAGCCTGAGTCCTTCGACAGAGTCGTGTCCATCGAGGTGCGTAGCGTCCCAAACAGGCACAGTTGAATCGCTAATGATGAGCACAAGCTTTTTGAGCACATGAAAAACTATGAGTTGTTGATGGCCAAGGTCAACAGGGCTTTGAAAGGAGGCGGCAAGCTTTTCGTGCATATTTTTGCACATAAGACCACGCCGTATGACTAGTAAGTTGAGTATTTTCCTGGTGAGGAATACCATTACTGACATAGGCAACGCAGCGAGGAGGGTTGGATGACAACGCATTTCTTCACCGGAGGCACCATGCCGTCTGTTGATCTGCTTCTGTACTTCCAGCATGATCTCAAAATCCAGAGGCAGTGGTGGGTGAACGGCCAGCATTACTCCAAAACGTGTGAGGTACGTCAATTTCCCCTTCTCAACGCTTGTCCCTGAACGCAGCGAGCGACCTGACGTCTTTGCAATAGGATTGGCTGAGCAAGATGCTTGCACACAAGAAGGAGATCTGGCCGCACTTGGTGGAGACCTATGGAGAGCAGGATGCCAGTGTATGGTACAACCGGTGGCAGATATTTTACATGGCGTGTTCCGAGCTGTTTGCCTATCAAGGCGGCGACATCTGGGGCATTGCGCACTATCTGTTCGAGAAACCAAACTGATCATTCCACTGGACACGCATGTGTAGACCTGTTATATTCATAGAATAGCCATATCTTCTTTGTTGGCTTCGGTCCGGCAAATCTTGATCAACCCATGGCTGGTGATGCATTTTTTGCTCCAACGTCGATTCCCTTCACGGCACCGGGTCAAAACGTGAGGTTCAGTGATCCCAGGGATGCTTCCAGCCCAGCAAAACGGGACCTGCACACGATTGTCAGCTACAATGGATTCAACTGCACGCATCACCAAGGGCATGAACACACCATCCTTCTTCGCGCGATACATCAGCTACCGATGGCAAATAGTCAGCATGTCTGTTTCTCAAGCGTCATATCGTGACGAGACAACGCACAAAGAACCACATGCCAGCACCCAGAGCAGTCGCTGTATAGCGGTAAATGCCCGGGACGTGAGGCGTGGGAGGCTTGGGGCCGGGATACATCGTGAGAATGCGGCAAGGCGCGTCGGTCGGGGTAGACGGGATGTTCTGAGGAGTTCAATTAGAAGCTGTTATAGAACCAATTGACGAAAACGACATAAACATACCAACCTCGAATATCGCCGGTTCCTCTTCGCACGCGGAGTTGTGGAAGGGACGGGGGAGAGCAGCTGGAGGTGATTGAAAATACTGGTAGGACGAACGACGTTGAAGCATCACCATGCAAGGCCGGGAGCGCTGTGTGGAGCTCTGCCTTGGCTGTTTAGGTAATTGGGGCTGAGCTGGGAGACGACGTATCAATCTGTATCGATTAGGTGTCTCCCTTGATTGCAGGTTGCTGCCTCATGTGCCTGCCTGGAAACCTAGGTACCTATCTAAACACCACTGATACGCAGCCCCCGCCTTTGTGCCCGGTGGGGCTTCTCCGGGCCGGGACACTGGCCCGGGTGTTGGCTGGCCCCTACTGTCTCAAACCATTGACAGCCCCTGGAGCAGAGTGGACATAGAGGAACTCTTTGAGTGCTGCACAATGGCACAAAGAGACGGCCCCGTAGCACCATTTCTAGCGGGACGCTGAACCGATAAGTCCCCGTATCGCAACATCAACGCACCTTACCTACCTTACCTACGTAGACTTCATACGTAATTCGAGCCACCTATCCTCCAGCGCCTTTCCCAATAAACCTCTACATTGACCAGAAGGCAGCAGCCAATCCACCTGTATCCATTCTCCTGATCGAATTATCTGATTACCCTATCAGACACACTTTTCTGGGACCGCTGTCGCCGAGACGATTGAACACAGCACTGGTCACCTCGAAGTGTCATTCCCAACTAGATAGCCGACATGGCAACTCCCAAATTTAACTCCAAGTCGCCCACGATACGGCGCATACGTAAGAGTTTTCTGCCCTCCTGCTCGTCTACCGGTCATTGTCTGATCTGTTCGCGTCCAGTTCGCGAAGCACAGGAACTTTCAAACTCGCCATCGCCAGATTACACGGCAACCCCGCTAGAATCAGATCTATTCGAATGGCACTTTACCTTCCGCGGGCCCCCGAATTCTTCCTATAGCGATGGAATCTACCACGGTCGAATCGTCCTGCCACCTACATATCCGCTCCGTCCGCCCAGCTTTCGATTTCTTACTCCGAGCGGCCGTTTCGAGACGAACCGCGAGATCTGCCTCAGCATCAGCGGTCATCACGAGGAAACATGGCAGCCCGCCTGGGGCGTAAGGACGGCGTTGGTTGCGTACGTCGCTCACCATAATGGCCTTGACTTGGCCGCCTTTACTGACTATCAACCAGGTTGCGCAGCTTTATGGAGACAGATCCTCGAGGCCAACTAGGTGGTCTCGAAACAAGCGACGCTGTGCGGATGCGTCACGCGACGGCATCCCAGACATTTAAGTGCCCAACATGCGCTAAAACCAATCTCGAGATTATACAGGAATGCGAGGAGAGTGCCAAATCCATCGCCGTCACATCAGAATCCTCTGATGTCGAAATACCCTCAGAGTTGAAGATGGGATGGAAAGATGAAATGGGCAAGCTGGCCGAAAGACAACACCACGCGCAGGAAACCCCACGGCACGACGATGGTGATGCTGAGAGCGCGGAGCTCGCCGAGGGTTTCGTCCGCACTGCGCCCAAGGTGGGTGGGCCGGAAACAAGTCAAGTGCCCAGATCACAAGTACCAGCGCCCGACATCGCAGCGGGATCAAACGGGCCCTCCCCATCGATATTGACCCCAACAAGAACAGTGTCCCTGCCTCCGGCACCGAACGTTCGGCAAACTCACCAACGCCCGCACGACGAAGGGGTACCGCTGTGGGTGGACCGGGCCATCGTTGCACTTGTTGTGTTGCTTCTAGCGATGATTCTCAAAGTAGTCCTGGACTTTTAGCCAGTCATTTCTGTACAACCAGATGGTAATTTTCAGTGGGGTTCAGCTCGTCCGTTACTTACTTAGACGTGCGGAGGCTGTGATGGACAACTTATTGACACTGATGCTCTTCCAGGGACATTCGGGTCGGATGTTCATGTGCTGATGGATGGGTCTACGACACAGAGACACGGTGGCAGAAAGGCACATGCGAAGTGCTTGGATTTGATACAGAGGCAGGTAACTGTCTATTAGCGTGTTTTCCACTTGCTCTACGAATGCAGGTTGCATCGATTTTGATACGCGAATGAATAGGGCGAGTATCTGTGCCAGGATTCTTAACCACAGTTTCAATTTCTCAGCTGTCCTGGACTTGAATTCTGTAGTCCCGAAGTGTCTTGCCCTTTGCTTCATTTAGTTCGATGCATAGGCACCCTGTCCCCAGAGTGACTGAGGACTTGTTGTAGAGCAAGTCTTCATAACGCAATGCCTCGCTGCCTCCCGACAAGCAGCCACCACCACTCGTCCACTGTGCAGCTCGTCCCGTGTGCCATGTGCTTCAACACCCCATTGTGTCGGCCCCAATCGAAAACCATTTCAACCTCAAATTCTTGAAGGTAGGGTTTCAAAACTGCGCAAACAGACGGGACGTCCAGCGGGCCGCGCGTGGCTATGACGAAAGCGACTGCACCGAGGACCTGTGACCAGCGTTCTATGTTGAGCTCCCCAAAAAAGTCAGACCACAATGGTATGGCTCGGTTCTGGTTTTCTCGTGGGGGCCTGTTGCTTCTTGCCCGTTCGATAACCTCTAAATCGTCATCGTACAGATAATCTTGTGTGGGAGCGATCTCAAGGCCGAAGTTATAATACGACTTCGGGTACTTTCTGCTTTCATAGTTGCCGGGATCAAATCCCAGAGGAATGCTCGGGACATCGACTGTGGTAACGGCCACTCTCCCATTCGCCTGCAGGTTCATCATCGCCATAACTTCACCGTCTCTGAGAACGTAAGGAATACGAATCTTTTCGCCTCGTCGAAAGCTGACATCAAGTCGCGACTTAAAGCGGGCGGCGTCAACGAACTTGTGCTGATGCGTCCACTTTATCAACCGAGGAAGAAAGGTCTCAGTAAGGCGGTATGGCCTTCCCTCGAGTGCCTTCAGCTTGCTGTCCGTAATGATGCCCTGGCCTTGGAGGGTCTCAACCGCTTGCTCAAGCAAATTCTGAATGCGCTCCTCGTCCCCGCCTCCTATGCTGGCCATTTTCTTCCTTATATCTTGTGGTGCGTATCTATCGCGCGGCGTGTAGCAGAGAGAGCGAAGCCAGGACATGGCTGTAACCAGGTCTTTCGCTTTCGTATTTGGGGCAGATCCGCTGCCTTCATCGATGAGAGAAGTAGCCGGGCGCGAGGTAGCGGCTTCAAATCTGTTGAAGACAGACATCTGAAAATTGTAGTAATCTTCACGCCAATTATCAATGTCCGCCCAGGCTGGTGCGAGAGAATATCCTTGAACCAGGGCATTTTTGCTCGCAGGAAGCTCCACGGAGTCCTCGATGAGCCCAGCGGTCCATCTGATCAGACGGACCCAATCGTAGTTGACGTAGTCATCAAAGTCAATCGCGGGGAACTCATTGTTCTCGTAGGCGGGAATGAATCGAATCTGGAATCGTTCTGTGAGTTGACTAATGAACGTCCGTCGGTCCTTCCGGGCTTTGGACCAGAATCGCCGCATAGCACTGAGAGCCATGTCCGGGAACAACGTCATCATCAAGCCCCATTCGATGACCCTGTCGGCGCCGCCTAGTAATGTCCTAGTCACAACGAACGCCGCTATCAAGATGGTTTCGTTGGTCTCATCCAGTCCATTGTTCCGCTTGGATGCCTCTCGCAGGTCCGCATCCTTTGGCAGTGTTATGAGCGACCTGATCTTCAGATCTATACCCACTACAAGGTCCTTTGTGTCGGTGACGGGTTGCTTTTGTCGTCGCTTGCGTCGCCGCTGACGGCCAAGGTCGCCGCCCCATAGATGATCAGCCGCAGTGGTAGTGAAGTCCGACAAGCGCACGTCGAACAATAGAGACGCACTCAATTGATTAGCGGGATTCCAGTCAAGAGGAGGATTCTCCCATTTGCCTGGCAGGTCGCTAACGCCAAGATTGATGAAGATGTGCTCCGGTACGATTGACTCGGCCAACATGAGCTTCATACCCTCGGTCGACAACTCCCAGTCGAAGCAGGCATCGACTTGCTCAGAAAACTCCTGATACTGGCTGCTGCTTGGAAACTTGGCACGCGGGCGGCCGCGCCATTTTACCATCTCAGCCAAGTTTTGCGGTAGATTCTGCTTGAGGAACCATCGAGAATCCGGCATCCAACCTAGTGTTGTCAAGCTGCAGTCTTGGTCGAATAAACTGTCGTCAATTGCCGGCCAGACGCCCCTTTGGCCTACGATAACGGTGGCTTCAGTGAAATTGACGCTGAAGTCATTGGCTACATCGTCCTTGGCTGGTGCCGACGGGTATGTTGGCTCAGTAGCTGGGCCGTCGGGTGGTAAAAGGGAATGTCTGACTTCCTCTGGCACATCTTGGCCGAGATAAGTGTTGGGTTTAAGGAACACCAAAGGGGTTACGAAGCCGCCTCTTCCAGCTTCCATCGAATTTGACCGCGTAAGTCCGTTGTGAGCTCCGTCGTTGCCGTCCATAAAAAATCGGAAAATGTCCCGACGTCGTGTACCATCAGGGCCGTCATCCTCAGCGTGTGTAATTTGCTCCTTCGTCACCATTCTCCTCTTCCGTTTCCGTGGAGTCAAATTGGTACCCTCAGGAGGGGTGAGTGGCCGTTCATTTGCGGCTTTCTTAGCATAAAAAGGCGCATCAAGAACCTCGATTCCCTGGACAAGTTTTCGCCGGCTCGAGAAAACTGGCTGGACGTCGTTGCTGTCTTCATCATGGGTCCTGGTCTTGGGAGTGAACGCCAGGGGTGTATAGGCCTTGGGGTGCGCTGCAGTGATCTTTGCTTTCATGGCCGCGCCAGCTGGTGAAGATGCCTCAACCCCGGGGACCCTCAGTAATTGGTAATTTGCCATCATGCCTCTAGAATCCTTGAAGGCATGTGTACTGACAACGATCTGTTTTCTCTTGGCCAATCGGGCCAAGGCATCTTTGTAGCTCTGGTGAGCCGGTGTGGGTTCGCCCGGGAAAGCTACTTCCCACGTTGCGAGAACGGCATACCAAACGGAGCAACCGCCAGGGAAGACTCCACCGTTGGCATGCAGGATGTGCATGAGGATTTTCTCCATGAGATCCTGCCCGGAGACTGCCAAAGCACCTTTGATGCCGATACTGGTTCGCACTGCCTCTGCGTTTGATAAGCCGAGTGTAACACTGGATGATGTTTCTGCCCTTGATATATTCGACTTTGAGTTAATTTGCCCTCCGCTGCCGCGCTCTTGTGCACATGTTGGTAAAAAAGCTTCACCAGCCTCGACAAAACTGGTCAATGGACTGCCGCGACGGTCAGCAGCGCTCGTTGTTGTTGTTGTTTCCTCAACTCGCAGGCGTTTGAAGGACGGCTGGATTGGAGCGTGTTCTGCAGGCATGTCTCTGACAGTACCGTCTGTGTCGTCGATCAGGCCACTCATCGAAGATCTGACAACAGAAATCGGTGGCCGAAGCGAGGATGATTTGCATCGTTGGCGTTGGCCGCCGATGCGGTTTCTGACCCCAAATCTCGCCTCAGAAGATGCATGAGACCATCTAGGCCGTGAGGACCTCGTATTCCTTCTTCGAGTAGCAGTGTTGCCATCGGAGATCAGGATATCCATATCGTCCAAGTCATCCAGGCCGGCCGCTGCCGCATCAGGAGCAGCAGCGCCCAGTGTAAGACCGCCCGTTGGCGAGGGCACTACTTCATCCGCTTCATCGATGGCGGGCGTTGTGACTTGGCGATATCTAGTCTGACGAGGTGTCACTAGCTTTGCGGAAGTAGATATTCTGTCCACCAGTTCTGGCGGAGCTGTCGCTGGTGGAACGTAATTCGGATTGCATGTCGTTTTTGACTTCTCGAGATGGTACTTGATGCCAACGTCATTCTTCCAAGTTCCGCCACACTTTTCGCATTTAAAGACGCTCCGTGTCTTCTTTTCTGCTCCTTTCTTCTTTCCACGTCGCCCTCCGCGTCTTGTTGTTTCTTCAGTAGCGGCTTCGTTGACGAGATGCAAGGAATTTTCCTCGGCGTTTCGATCCTGGTCCTCATGGGCGACCACAATCGATTCTTGTGTGTCGTCGGGAGCTACGGTGTCCTCGGCCGATTTTAGACATCCAGATGCATCATGGCTTGATTTAAGACGTGAACCAGCATCTCTCTTCTGCGAACTGCGAGCCTCTACTTTGTCTTGGAAACCGGTCTCAGCCGGTGCTGGATCGACTCTGTTTTCGCCCTTTGCGCCTCCTGCCAGAGCCCGCATAACATCCGACAACGCTTCCGGCCTGACCTTGAGTTTGACAATCATAGAGTCAAGCTCTGTGCTGACTGCCTTTCTTCTTCCCGTGCTTCCACGAGTGGACATCCTCGAAGACGATTCAGGGTTGGAATCATGGCTGATCGCTGGCGGAACGTTGTGCTCTTCGTCTAGGCCTTCTTGATACGCCAGCGTTGCCAGCCTCGCCCGCTTTCCCCGACGAGATCCGAGATCTCGAGGTTCGCTTGCATGTGAGATATCCAGAACCTCGGCTTTCCGTTTTGAGCCACTCACCGTCGCTCCCTTGCCAGGGCCTTGCGCAAGTGCTGTCAGACCACCGACAGCGCGAACAGTATCCGGCGGGATAGAAGGAGCCGCGAAAAGACTGATCGATTCTGCATGGGAATCGCCCCTGTAGACTGCATTTTTTACACCATTGGCGTTATCCCGGACTGCTTCAGCAGAAGAAGGTTTCGAAGGCCCTGGAAGTTGCGGGGCGAAGTAGCGATATTGTTGTGACTTGCCCTTTCGATGCATTTCACTCAGTACTTGGAAATACATGAGGTGATTCGGCTGCAGCGCAGGAATAGCCAATGTTGATGAGATGGACGACAAGTATCTCCTGAATGACGGCCCAAGTGTCGAGTCACCTATTTGTTTGTTTGAGAGACCAGCCGGGCCGGCAGCTTGGATGTTGTCGAACACAGTGGTGGTCAGGGGCTTGTCAGCAACCCAGGGAGCAGCACGCGTCTTTTCACTGCGCTGGGGGCCCAATACTGGGCGCGAGGCTGTATCGAGAGTTGGGCCTTGCGCATCCATTCCATCGGCGGGGAAAAGTCCGGCGTCGAAGCCAGAGGATGAGAACGAAGGGCTTTTTTGTTTTCCGGTCGCCAGATAGGCAGCCCAGTCCTCATGAGTAAGGTCATGGTCGAACTTGAGACAGTCCTTGAATAGCTTGCCTGACAAGGTGGCGCCCACGTATTGAATGGCACCTGTTCGAACGAAAAAGCGACAGGTCTTTGCGGCAACTTTCATCTGCCACCTGAGGCCTAGGATCCCCAGCTTACACCGCAAGTCGTGATATCTGATGATTCGATAGGCTTTCACCACAGCCATAATTGTTTGAGCCAGAGAAATATAATCGACCGAGTCTCCTGTCCATCTTCCACGCCAGGAAACAGGTTCGAGATCACTTGCCAATGCTTCCCGAGACATGTCGACATTGGCGGGCATACCAGCGGCGACTTTCGTGGGGTCCGTAGGAAGCGCAGGAGCAAAGCGTGTAAGCCACAGCTTGCTTGTTTTTGTGCCTCTGACAAGAGTTGTGCGCTTGGAAATGTATCCCTTTTCTGCGAGAGCGTCGGTTCTTTTTGGTAGTGAACGTTTGTCTTGGCCGACAAGTCGACCAAGATCTCCCTGCAGGATTCCTTGCTGCTTCGTCGATGCTATTCCAACCAAGGCCATCCACTCCAGTCTTGGAACTCTTCGGTAGTCTGGAGCGTGCCCAGCGATCGATTCCCACATCCGATCTTCAGATACGTAGATGCGAGGCCTTTTGCGCGGCAGGTCCTTCCGCGGTGGCACCGCACCTGGTTGAGGCTGAGCTTCATTTGTATATGCAACATCACCCCTTCCAATGGATGCATTGGGTGACTTCATTGCGATACCATCTTGCGCGTCTGCATCTGGTATGGTCAGGATATCCGACAAGGGTAAGTGATTCCATTTTCGATTGGCTCCAACAGAAAGATCCTTCCTGATCCTGAGCCAGTCCCATGCTGTGGACCAGAGGAGTTGGTTAGTCCTCGTCGAATCCGATGAATCGGCCTGAGATAGCTTATCGCTTCTCAAATGCGCATCTTGGTAGAATGCGTCTAGTGCTTCCAAGACGTGGGAAACGGTACATCCTGTTCCCTAGTCAGTGACAGACCGAAAAGGCACCTGCTCTTCACTCATGCCCTTCTCGGCTCGAAAGGCGATGTATACATAGCCGACTGCCTCGCGCATCATCCTGATTGAAATTTGACGCGAGGTTGTAAAGGATGCAAAAGCAAAGAACAGGCTCGTTTCAGTAGATAGATTCACTCACCTAGGTCACCATAGCAGGAGACATCAGTGATGAGTGACTCGATCAATCGCTCCAGGTCGCGGGACATGATGAATGTTCGTGTCGATTGCACATTATCAAGGGGGGTGTCTTGAGTAAGAAAAAAAAAAACCGATGTCTTGCTGAGTGTTTGTGGTCGACGATGGAAGATCGAACCTAGGCGCCTTGCGATTGGCGTTTGTCAGGTCGTTGGTCGAAATCCCAGTTTTTGCGTTTGCATGGAGTCGAGAACCCCGCTAGCATGCAGCCCTCACCGAGCCACATGCGCAGCGCAGGTGCATCCAGTTTCGGTAGCTGTGGCTGGTGCAAAGAGTGGGCCACGACATGTGTTGCAGCCACCTACCTGCGAGCACCTACACTACCCACGTTGCACTTCACAGCACCTCAGCGCAGGTAGGTACCTTACATTACCCAGGTAGTAATGGTTACCTAGGTAATACTCATGTTCTCAGTGAACTCGTTTCTTTCTGAATAGGTATCGCATGAAATTCAAGAGCGAAACCCCCACCTCTCTGGCGGGTTTGATAACAGGGATGATAGGAATCCTTTCATTCTCTGATTCGCTCTTTCACCCATGGCTGCTTAACTGAGACGAAAACCTACATTTTCAGATATTTATCAATGCGTTACAACATGAAATAATGCGAATCTACCAGGGGTATACTATAATGAAGCAGCAGCAGCTTGACGAGCCAGCTTCTCTTCTTTCTTCCTCCTGAAGGTAGCGACAACCTGCTCACGGATCTGCTGGAGCTCCTCCCGCTGTCGCAAACTTCCCGCAGACTTTGGGACGTTAGAAACATCCACGGCGGCACCGCGTACAAGAAGCTTCTCGCGGGAAATCTTGGGGAGTTCTGGAGGCGCTTGAACGACATCATGCAGTCCTGTCTTTACCTCTCCCCGTGTTTTCTTCAGAACCGCCCACGGGTCCTCTTCACGGTCAGCTCCTTTGCCCCTCTTCCCCTTCTTCTTCTTCTTCTTTCCACCCTGGCTTGGCTCCTGCATACTAGCCCGTGTGATGCCGAATGTTCCAAACGTCCCTCCGTTGATCTCCTCATCCAGCTCACGTTCAGCAGCCTCCTCGGCCTCCTCTTCCCGTTGCTCCTGAACTTTGCGTTCTTCCTCCCGCCAGAGATCGTATAACTTATGCATCTGGCGCTCCTTACGTGTTCTTTGTATCTTGAGACCAACTGGGTCCTTCCCATCTTTAGCAGTCTTGTTGACGAGACCCGATAGGGGCAGGGCCGCGTTGACGCGGGCAGCAAAATCAGACATGCTCTCTCCAGGGCGAATTTTCGGCATTCCTTCTTTGACAACGGCATCGACAGCACCTGTGTCCGGTTCATCCGGCTTCTCTTTTCCCGCCTGCTTGTTCTTCTTCCTCTTTTGTTTCGTTGGCTGACCATCATCCAGACCGGATCGGAGCTTCTTGCCTTGAGAGAGGGCCATCAGGCGCTTAAAAGCGCGAGGAGTATCATCGTTCTTGTTTTTCCTTTTCTTCGTGACACCGTCGTTCTGAGTTTTGGGATTTGCCTGCTGGGCATTGCGGCCCTTGTTGACGGGCAATGGCCTCGCAATCTGACTGGGCGGAAGATCGAATCTATTGACACTTTGTTAGGCATCGATGCATAGGTAGAACGCGAGTCAATGGGCTGCTTAACATACGACGATGGATCTTGCTCCCGCCTGGTATGTTTGTGGGGCATTGTGGGTGATGTCACTTGCTGGTGATGAGGCTTTCGAAGGCTGCATCGAACGCCTTGTCTACAAAACTCAATAGGTCGCGATGAAAATTTTGTATTAGGTCAGCATAGGGTCGGCGGGGAATCGAAAGCTTATCTGATAAGCACGCTACAGGTACGTATTGCCTTACAGTGTAGTGTACGCAGTACAAACCGCCTCGTTTCTGTCTCCAGCAAAAGACAGGGGTCTTTCAGCAGGGACCCTGGGGGCGATCCACAGTCGAGAGATCACACGCGGGATTGCGGGATTGCACGCGCTGGCAGCTTGGCACCTGATGTTCCTAGATGAC